ATTTTCTGGTACTTAACTCGGAATTATAACACTGAGCCCTAAACCCTTAACCCCGAAGTCCTAAACCCTGAACCTTAAAACCCTAAACCCTTAAACCCTGAACCCTAAACCCTAAAACCCTAAGCCCCTAAAGCCCTAAACCCTACACCATAAACCCTAAACCCCTAAACCCTAAACCCTAAACTCCTAAACTCCTAAACCCTAAACCTCTTTTCCAGGCCTTGCACCCTGAACGGTAGAGCTGACACAGTCGATTTTCATCTCGGCATGCGCACAGTGCTACAGCTTAGTGTAGGGGCCTTTTATACTTGAAATAGGGTTTAGGGTTTAGGGTTGGGGCCTTCATAATTGAAATAGGGTTTAGGGTTTAGGGTTTGGGCCTTTATTAATAATTGAAATAGGGTTTTGCGACATGTTATACTATAGTTATAATAAAGAGCCCCCAAAGATAGTATAGGTAATCAGCTTTTTGAGACCCCTATATTCGGGCTTGCAGTTTAGGCTTTGGACATCTCACTGCTGTCGTTTTCCGGTTTGTCCCTTTCTCCTGCGTAAAACGATATAGAAAGGAACCTGACGACGAGAGAGCAAGCCTAGCTCAACCTTAAATCCTGCACCATGACCCTGAACCCTAACGCCCCCCCGAAACCTCACACCCCCACAATGAGCACCTTCGAGAACTTCTCCACCCCTAAACTTTAAAGCCCTAGACCCTAAACTCCTACAACCTAAACCCCGAAGCCCTAAACTCCATGCACACCCCTAAATGAGCACCTTCGAGAACTTCTCCGGATAGAGTGAGTTCGCCTTCATGAAGGCCACCCCAGAGACGCAAAAGGGAAGCAAAGCAACCTGCAAAGTTACGTTTCATTCAGCCGTTGCTTAATTGTGGTCCTTTTGGGGGGTGTGGGGTTTTAGGGCTTGGGGTTCTGGAATTCTGGGGTTTAAGGCTTTTGGGGTTTAGGGTTCGAGGCTCTTGGGTGTAAAGGTCTAGCTTCCCATCCTCATTGTAGCGAGTATGCTAGCACTTTGTGGGCCTATGCTGGAGGCCCTCACATTCTCAAAGCCCCGGATAGTTGATGACCTTGCAGATAGAACTCCCTGGATGCTACCACAGTAGGCATAAATCGGTATAAGCAAATGTACTATCCATGGACCCAGAAGGAGAAGCCCCCAACTGCCTCCAAACCAGTAGCGATCTGTTGCAAAATCCCCAGGTGGGGGAGGCACCCTCCATAAAGAAGCCCCTGCATCCTGAAACACCAAGCAAGCACAAGGCGGGTTGTGGCTTAGGCGAATATGAATAGGGTTCAGGGCTTAGGGGCCCTCACAACACATCCAAAGGCCAAAATCTAAGCTTTAAACTCCCTGCAACCAACCCTCGCCTCACACGAAAGTGACTACACAACTATACAATAAAACTAAACCTAAAATGTGCATGGGAACAACTCGCACTACCGACTTTAATAACGGACACGAGCATCAGTAAATGCTAAACCCTAAACCCTAAACCCCTAAACCCTACACTATAAACCCTGAACCCTGAACCCTAGACCCCTAAA